CAGAAGAAATGGCTGCATACATAACTTCAACATCTCCTATGCTTACAAAATTAAAAAAAATTCCTATTAGGGTAATGCATTTAAATTACTAAGGCTGATGTACAGGAAGATGACAATTGGGATTGGGATTTTTGTTGCTAAGTGATACTGTCGTTAAGTGGATCATTAAGTAAGTACCTACTCTCACTCTCCTTTTAGTTTCTCACAACCAAAGTCAATGGGGAAACTAGCAGGAAATCGCAAATCCCAGGTTGTTTACAAGCAGACCTGCAGGCAGTGGCTAGTGGCTGCTGCCAAATGAGGGAGGTTGATGAGCAGTGAAGGAGGTGCTGTGCAGACATCAGGGGCGGTTTCTCTGCCAGTTTCCCCATTGACTTGTGGGAAGCTGGCAGGAAAGGCTGCAAATTGAGATCATGTGATGTGCGATGCTGCAACTGTTGTAAGCACGAGTTGGTTGCGAAGTGTCCAAATTGAGTACATGACTGCAGGTACTGGCTTACTGGAACAGGGCTAACCATCATTTATTTGGCACTGTCGTAACTTTGAATTGTTGTTGAATGGTGTTGATTCAAGTACTATCTATAAGCTACATATTAGATAATGCCTTAACATTCCATAGTATAGTAAAATATATCTAATTTTAGAGAATTTTTTCAAACAAATAACAACTGTGAGATTCAGATATATAATGATCATCTATATCCATGATGGCGAACATATGGCACGTGTGCCACAGGTGGCATGTGGCATATTGGTGGGCACACGAGCATTGCCCTAGCTCACATCCCCAGCTGATTTTCGGGCCTTCCAAGCTCACCGGAAGTTGGGAAACAGGCTATTTCTAGCCTCCAGAGGGCCTCGGGGAGGTAGGGAAGGCCCGTTTCTTGCTCTTCCCAGGCTCCAGAAGCTTTCTAGGAGCCTGGGGAGGGCAAAAACTGTCTTGACCCCTCCGTGGAGGGGGTCCATGGAAACGGCCCATTTCCCAACTTTTCTCGGAAGGCCCATTTTTCAGAAATGGGCTGTTTCTGGCCTCCGGAGGGCTGTGGGGAAGGCCGTTTTTGCACTCTCCAGGCTCCAAGAAAGCCTCTGAAACCTGGGGAGGGCGAAAAATGGGCCTACCAGGCACACCATGCCATTCGTGCCAAAAGCTGGACCGTGGGGGGTCGCATGCGCATGTGTGTGTGTGGTGCATTGAATTATGGGTATGGGTGCACACACACGCTCCCCCCACTTTTGGCAAAAAGATTAGCCATCACTGATCTATATATTATGATTTATGCTAAGCCAAAAGCAGACTAGCCACATTATAGTTTAACACAGCCAGATAGGTAAGATGGATATGGAAATAGACAACTTGTATTCAGATTGGGGTTTATCATGTGGATTTGGTTTCCCCATGTCTCTATTTAAAGAGATGTGGAAAGAAGGAATAGACTTTGTTTATTACCTTCTCCTGTGATGCATAAAACAGGTTTAAGCACTGTTTACAAAGTTATAAGGCAAGATGGGGTAAAAGGTATAATAGCTGATCAAACCATGATTTAAACAACTCCACTGTCTCCCTTTTCAATCCAAATCTGGATCATGAATGCAAAGGGAAAATATTAAATATCGTTCTTCCTAAGAAAACAGAATGAAAATATATGGGAATATAAAACCGACTTTGCGGCTACGGAAGGAAGGAACAAGCTGTTAAGGGGAGACTTAAGGAAAAGATTATAGAGTTTTGAGCTAGAGGAAACTTGAGAGAAAAGAGTCTCAAAACAATCCCATATTGATTTTATTTAAGATGAGATAGAAACAATTTTGCAGGAAGATTCTGTTATTCTACTTTGCTGCAATAAAAAAAGCATTTCTGGAATTCCTGCCCTGCTCTTTTCTTGACCTGGTTACCTCAAAAGACTGACAGGCATTACAAACCTTTCAATATATGTCTTTTCACACTTGGCATGTTTACATTTCTAGGATACCTACCTGTTTTTAATTTATTATCTTTGAACTGATCATTTTTTTAAGCCTCCAGATGGCACTATTAAGCAGAAAAAAGAATGATTGTAAAGTAATGAATCCAGTGAAAAATAAAAGTGGAAATTGAATTGTAGGGGCAGAGAGGGGCAGGGGAGGGCTAATGGTAGCCTTGATGTGCTTAGATCAACCTGTACTCTTATCACTTTTGTTTGCTGTTCCCATATGTTAGGTTACCAGCAAGTTAATAACAGTGCTTTGGCAGTTCAAGGCTTAACAAAATTGCACTGGACGTGAAATAAAGCTAAAATGAATTTCTGTCCAATATCATTGACATTAGTGTTCATTATTTTTGCAGTGCAATGCCTCAAACCATCAAAAATCAATTTTAAAGATTACCCATTATTTTACAAAGAAACTAAAATGCATTTCAAACAGTAACAAAGAAGTAACTGTGGTGTAATTGTATCAACAGTTACTTAGGTTTCAGCTTGGTGACACAATCACACTTCTAAAGCAACCACTGAGAATATTTATTGAGAATTAAATTGTATGTATGATCCATAGATGTATGATTAAGGTAAAATAATACCAAGTTGGATTATCAGTAATATTTTTGTGCCCTCTTTATTTCCATCATTATGTGCATACTTTAAACAATAGTGTCTGGTTATAACATTCTGTTAGGAAATCGATAGGATTTTTCTGAGGGATGAGAAAAATCCTATCAGGGATGGGATGATTAATGCTTAGTTTGTTTGGGATTTCTTATGTAACATGATTCAGCTTGAAATGGAATATAAAGAAAAGTTGCCTACATTTTTCAGATCAAAGTCACGCTTAACCTTTCAGTGGTAGAGGTAGAGTATGCTACTGAAAACAAAACACCTTTGGGAACAAATAAGACATTTAAAAATTAGTTTTGATTTTATTCATTTTAATTTTACCTACATTTTAAAGATATCATGATTGCTTTCCACATATTTACCATTTTCTCCTATTTATCATATTAAAATTACAATTTGCTTCAGCTATTACTGAAAGTAAAGCTGAGGTTATGTACCATTTGTTTAAAGCCATGTTACTGCTGTTTCCCGTTCATATTTGGTCACAATTCAATTGAGGCCCAAATGATTTATATGAATTCCAGAAGATAGTAATTTATCCCAGTAAGCTGATTATTTTTTACTATAGTGTGCCTTCCTTTATGAACAATGTCCAATATCTTACATTGATATAGGTGTATTGGAGCTGAAAAGGGCAATTTACATAAAAATGATATAAGCATTACATATTTTAGAATAATTGAATAGCTCTATGATTAAGATAAAATAATACCAAGTTAGATTATCAGTAATATTTTTGTCCCCTCTTTACCTCCATCATTGTGGTCTGAGGAGTATGACATATGCAGCATCTTTAATGACCACCGCAATTAGCAGAATCCACTAGACTTGACAAATATCTGAGCTTCCTGCATAATGTTTATGTTAATGTGCATGCAATTAGATAATATATCGGAGCATTCTTGTCTGCATGTATAAATTATATCTGAATAAAACCTTGAAGGAACCCTTTGATTTGATTGTGGCTTGGGCAAAGCATTCTCTGCATACAGCTCTTCATTGCATGCTTTCATGTATTGTATTGGAGCTGCTGCATGACAAATTGGTCACTTGATAATGTTCAGAATTCTGTACATATATATGCAGAATATATTTTCACAGCAGAAAGAAATCGAGATCTAAAGGTATAAGAACCTGTTTTTTATATCAAGATGCCACTTCGCCCTCAACTGGAGGTTCAGGTGGTTCAGATAGGAGTGCTACTTCACATACTGATAAATTCTGTATTATCCAAGATATCCTTGTTTTAAAGACTAAATTAGAAACTTGGAGGAAGGAAGTGAATTGGCTAGTTTTGATTTTAAGGGAGGAACAGTTTCAAGGGTTGGTATGCTTCCTGTTTATTTCTTTTATATTTCACTTTATTTCTCCAAAGATTTAAGGTAGCATGCATGAATCCCTCTTCCCCTATTTTATTTTCATAACAACTTTGTAAAGTGAGTTAGATTTAAGTGGGCTTGGATAGACTGAAGAAAAATCCAAGGGCCTTTCTGGATAAGTGAGGACTAAATTCAGAAAATAAATGATTATGGATGTCCATTGTGGGGACAAATGATGAAACAGGCATCACCATACACGTACCATTTCCTTTATATGTGCATCATGACATTGCACATACTTAATGGAATAATTAGAATTTCAGTACTAATTTCATTATTCTCCTGCCTAGCTGTTAAGAGATTAAATCTCTGCAAACTTCCTAATATATATATATATATTTGCTGAGATATGTGAGATGGCTATCTAGGTCAAAAGAGATGCCTTAATGTTTCTTTTCTAGCACACATAATTGAGGTTGGTCTAAACCTCATTTTATTTCTCTCTATTATCCCAATTTTGAAATGATTTTGTCTTCCATTGAAGAATATGCCACAGCCATTGTTTTTCATATTATATAGCCTGCAGTAAATAGTTCAAACCCTATTTTTCTATTCTATTAGCCTGATGAGTCATTATTAAAATATTCTTCACTGTATCAGACTTCCCTAATCTGACATCTTTGAAATGTTTTAGACTACAGGTGCCATTGTTTTGATGACAAATAATGTATGCTCTAATTTCATAGAATCTATAAGGCACCAGGTTAGGAAGGCTGCATAATGTCCATAGATTCTTTCACAGCTATCTTCAATAGAATTAATTCAAATGTGCTTTCTCTAAAATAGGATGATGAGATATTTTGAGATTATCCTTGAACAGAAGGCAGAGTACAGGATTGGTTATTCATATTAAAATAATAAATTCTCTGGTAGAATATTAACCTGAATGTTGGCCAACTATAAACTGGAGTCCTGAAATTGTTTATTTTGCCTATTCCCAGTTAGATTTCAAAATTGTGATTAAGAGACCATTTAATGATAAAAGTAATTAACTGACATCAACAAAGATTAGGTGAAAAAGCAAGAGATCTAAACGTCCACAATTTTAATATAGAAGTAATGTTATTTTGGGGGTTGTATTTGCTGGACTAAATAAACCAATAGAAATGTATTTTAATGTTGAATAAAACTAGATTGGAAAAAATAGATTTTATGACATGGTATAGTGGAAGCAAGACCATTCTGTTGTTAATAAAAATATAGTTGGATATATTTAATGTTGTATTAAATTGTTTTAAATATTTACTGAATTGAGCATTCTCATTTTAAGATTATATGCTGGCGTCAAAACACTTTTAAAAATTAACGGAAGTAAGATTCTTTTTGCCGTTCATCTGAAATAGTTTTATCAGCCTTTTTGAAAGTAACACACACAAACAAAATAAGTATTTGTTTTACATAGGCATCTAATTTCTGTAAATTCTATAATGCCCTTCTTTTAAGGCAAGTTTTATTACATATTCAGAATTACTGATTATGCATCATTTCCTATGTTAGTTTTCCCACACATTGAGGCACACATTCTCCCCCCCACCCCCAGCCAAACTAGTAATCGATTCACATGGTAGCAACAGATGGGGAAATAAAAAAAAGTCCTTGAAAATTACTTATATAACAGATGTTCATAACTATTAGCTTCATGTTATTTTACTCACCTAAATTCCCAAATACTTTAATAAAGGTAAGTATCACTTACTCAAACATTCTAACATTTATACTGTGTTCAAACTGCAATGGATACGAAGTTAAAAATAACTTTGAGGCAAAAAATATTGAATAAATGTTCTTGGAAGGCAGATGAAATTTTTGTTTTTTGTTTTTTTAAAGGGTACTCCAGAATCCAATTTTGCTTTCAGACAGTAGACTTCATCTATTCGTACAAACACAGCTGAGTCCTGAAGACATTGAGGCATGTGTATCTGGAAATACGAAATATTCTGTGGCTGAAGCAATCCATGACTTTGCTTGTTTGAAACGACGATTTCCTGTAGAACATGAAGAGAAGAAAAAAGAAAATTATGCCGATTCAGATTCTGAGAGGTTACTTCCTTACATTCTGCTAAACATGCATACATGAAAATAAAAACACTTCAGCATTTTTGTTGTTGATGCAATGCTAAGATAATGAAAAAATTAATTGACTGAGATTTTATTGAGCTGTGACAGTTCATCATAGAAGTCTTTGCATACACCTCCACATTGAATTAATGAATGCAGTAGAAATTCAATTATCTGCATTCTGATTATGTGAATTTCATTTAGTCAGACTTGAATTATTCGCGTTTAAATTATCTCGCTAAAAAAAATATCCAACTGCACTCCAAATGACTAATTAAAAGTCCAAATTTCCTGTCTCTCTTTTGTGACTGGGGATAATTAAAGTTCTCCTCTGTTACTCAGGCTTTGAGTGTGTTGTGAAAACCAATTTTCTCTCTCCCCCCCTCTTCCCCCCCCCCCTCTGCAGTTCATCCTCTGGGCTTGAACACAGTGGCGATGATAGCAATTCACACAGACATAAAGCAAGCAGAGCTACCGAAGAACCCTGAAATATTATTTGCACTCTGCAGTTCCTGGAATGACAGGCCTAACTTGAAAGTTGCATGTGACCTTTCTAACTACTTCCCAAAGCACGTGCTTTCTGTTTTCAAACCAGTTTTGAAAAATATAGAGTATATGCAGTAGAGGTCATATGGGCTGGGAATTATAGAGATAATAGTCCAAGTTATTTTGCAGGCCAAGCAGGAGAAACCTGATTTATGTTGTTGAACATTATGAATTACATCTGTAGAGACACCTTCAGTATCTTAGATTTTCTGGTGTAATCCTTTGGGGGTCATTATAAGGGAGAGCAGAGAAAACCTCTGAATGATTTTGAAATATGTTGAAATATCTGACCTCAAAATGTACAAATTCTATTTTCATTTGGCATTTTAAATGGCCACATAATTCTATCGTATTGTACAAATCTTAACAGTTCTAAATCATAGGTAAAATGTAATTAAAAAACAACTCAGTTTTTAGTGAGAAGTATTGCCAGGTAAGTATGCATATGTGCTCAGCAATACAGGAATAAATGACCAAGTTAGTTTTAAATAAACATTCTAAAATATTAGTTTCATCTCAATAAATACTTGAACCCTGTGTAATCAAAATTACAGCGTATCAAGTACTTCTGTCAGTATGCTTAGTTGAAGCCAGTAGGTTTAAGCTTGCCTAACAATTGTCACAGGTCATGTAAATATGTTTCAGACCCATAATCCCATTGGAATTGAAGTACATCGCATTTGAGGGTACCAGATTAAAGGAATTTAGTATGCCTTGCTTTCTGATGCAATAAAGAAACAATATATATATAAAACCCTCTGCATTATAAAATAATTTTATTTTATTTTATCAAATTTATGTTTTCTCTTTCTAGACGTAACAGTGAAGAAACTGGATTTTAGAGGGGCAGGAAATAATAAAAGATAATTTAATATGTATGTTTAAACTATCTAGCTGGACAACTTCATAAACTCAGTTCATTTTGGAAATCCTCAGTAAAATTAACTGGTTACCCAATCCAAAAATGTATTTATTATGGAACTAATTTTCATATTCTATTCATATTAAGTAATTCTTTTTGAAGGTCATGGAATATATTTTGGAAGGGGGAGAAGAAGTAGTAAATATTTAGAGCCAACAATCCTTTTGCTATTATGGTTGAGCATAAAATAACCTTGCAGATTATTTTATTTTATTAAATTGGATAAAACTGTTTAGGCCTAATTACAAAAAAATGCTAGCTACTTATGTTTAGGTAACTGTGTGAACATGTAAGTAAAATCACCAGTGCAGTGTTTGCTATTGTTACAGTAAAATGAACAAAAGGCTTCCAACTGAGGAAAGGAAAAAAGAGACCAAATAAAATGGAATAAGATATTGTCGCTTACTAAAATTACAGAAATCTAAAATCGTTACTGTGAAGCAATTTGAAGCAATGTGTATGCTATAAATTAAGTGATTGCTAATTTTAGTATATGATGTCTGAAGACTTATGTGATGTCATTTAATTGATGCCTGCTGGAGGATAAACAATTATTTCAGTCTTAAGTATTGCAAATAGAAGGCTTGGGAACCACTGTTACGTTCAAATTCCACTGTGAATTGCTGGATTTGATGCAGTTTGTCATTTGGTTTATCTATATGGTGCATATTAATCATGTTGCTTCAGTGTTACTATATTCCTACTTTTCAGAGTAAACCTCTACATGCTTACCATGATGTAAATTTTAATTGTTTACTCTGGAGTGTATTTGATTGCAGCTTGACCCTTGAAATATTTTATGTCTATCAAGTGTCTATTAGTGAAATACTTAATCACAAATGTGTGGACTCTTAAAATGTTTGGAAAATGCTTCTATTTTGTTACATTTCCAAAATAAAACATTTTCTATGTTGACTTATATTTGTCTTTGTAGTCTTGATTTTAAAAATTGCAATATATATAAATATAAAATATTTATATAAATATAAAAACTTAATGACATATTTTAAAAAAGCATGAATAAAACAAATTAATTTTTGAAAAGAATAATCCCATGAATTTTCCAAATCACATGTCCCATTTTGGGATTTAGTTTGTTCTCCCTCAGGTTTAAATTGTTCCTTTTATTTTATGCAATATAAAGCCAAGGAAAAGGAATTTGTTTTCTAAATTTACATATTTTTCATAGTCTGTCAGCCATATTTTTGTTATTTTTCAATATATTATGGTAAGACAAATTTTATGATTTACTTACATTTTAGGTAATTCCCACACCTTCATTTCTGATGACTTTTTTGTAGCAACTTGCTATTTACAAAGCTTTGCAAATAAATTCACATTTATTTGTACAGCTCATTTTAGAAATTAAATCTAGTAAATGTTCATATACAGGCAAAAATATCTAGCAGAGTATGAAGCCTATTTTCTTAGTAATTATAAGCAGTACTGCATTAATTCAATATTTTCCCTTATAAATGTTTACCCTTTTTAAAATTGTTTTTGTTTTTGCAGTAATACTTTTATCTTCATTTAAATTTTTAAAAAGTTTTTGTTCCAGCTTCTTTCTAGCAAATCCCTTATAAAATGTGGATTGGACAGCCTTTTCTTTAGTATATCACATTTTACAAGATTTAAAATGGATTTTTTTTTAATTATTCGAAAATGCTTAGGTCCCCTGCGAATACAATACTCTCTCTTCCTCATAATTTTATGCCGATTAGAAATAATTTGGGAAAATAATTATTTTTACCTACAGGTATACATCAAATAGGGAGAATTGTTTAGCTCTCGAGTTTAACCTCACGTAAAATCAAAAACAGAGAATTATAATTTGCAAAAGGCCAAAGGGGTAAGAATCAGTGGACACGGGATGACACATCTTAACTTTTCCGCTTTTCAATGTAACCCTTTCCTTGCTGGCCTCCTTTGCTTTGCAAACACAGTCGTTTCCGACGAGCCAACTGATTAGAATTGAGCCGTCATCCCGCTTCTTCAAACTCAAAAACTTTCCCTCTCATTGGTTAATTGTTATGCTGGGAAGGATTTTTTTAATTATTATTTTAAAGATACTCTATTCAGCGATACCTCGGTTCCCCGCTACCGGCTTGGTTTTTGGGATCGTCTGCAGCTTCCCGTCTCCTTTCCCTGGTTGCTATCTCTCTCCCTGCACGAAGCAAAAAATAAATCCATCCGTAAACCATCTGGCTTCATTTTAGGAGAAGCGAAACAGGGATGCCTGGCCATCAGTTGTAGCCATTAGCGTTCCTCTCTCTCCAAACCTGGTTTCTTGAGCCAGTTTTGCACCTTCGACCTGGCATGGAGTATAGTAGTTCGCCGGTTTCTTACCTCGAGGCCTTGATCCACTTTTTTCTTCCACCCGCCCCCCTGTTTTCAACCCCGCATACTGGACATTTCCCCCCCGCAGCTGCAAATGCCGCACGCGGAATCGCCGGCGCGCGCAGGGCGCTGGCTCAGCAGCAAGCAAGCAAGCAAGCAAGCAGCAGCAGCCGTTCGCTCGCTCGCTCGCTTTCCCCCTCCCGCCCAGGGAATGTGTGTTCCAGGCGCCCTCCATGTGCCTGAGCTTTGCTGGGGGCTGTTTGTCAGGGAGAGAGAGAGAGAAGGCTGTCGCCGGCCGTAATCCCGTAACCCATAGCAACGGCCCAAATCAAGGGAGCAGTAGCCCGTTGCTCCAAAAGGCCCATGGAGAATACGTCAACGAGCACCTCGCCCTCCTCCCAGAAAGTGATGCGATCGCCCTGGAACATCAATGCAGAGACGGGGTTGCAAACGACAAAGGATTTTCAAGGCATCGCTCTCCTTGCAAATACTTCATAGCTCCATCCTTCCCCCACCCCCTTCGCCTTTTTGGATTAATGTATGAAATGACAGACAGAGGAGGCTGGAAAATGAGAGGCAAATTTGCTGTGGGGGCGGCGGCGGCGGTGGGGAAGACAGGGAAGGAGGGCGAGGGGTGACGACGACATTCCCAGGCGTCGGCTGGATGGCGGGCTTTTGTTATGCAAACGCCTAGGCAGCCGGCTGTCGTTCTCTGTGCAGGGACCGAGGTAGTCGGATGACTCCTTGAAATAAAGGTCAGCGGAGCTGGTGAGGGAGGGCGGACAGCAGAAGCGAGTTATTGTTTTCTCAACGCTCTGCGGTGATGCAGGAGCTTAAACGCTGGGAAAGAAAAGCAGGATGTGGTGCCTGCAAGCCTGATTCGGGAGACTGGACTTCTTTTAGAAACGAGAAAGACTGCATGGCTTTAAAATACCCAAACCTAGGACACCTGTTCTGAAGAAGAGACAGCAAGACTTTAACATGCTCACTAGGCCCTGCATTTTTCAGAATAAGGCATAGTCTAGTAATTTCTCAAACTCCTCTTGAAATAAAAATCTCTATATATCACATGGCCATGCAACATGCTAAGTTATGATTGGCTTAAACATGATATACTGAAGGAATCACAGCTGGAGAGTTCACATGGGTTATTAACTATAAACTCAGGCTTATGAGGCCACTGGTTGGCATTAGCATCACACCCACTAGCTAAACTAATAATAGGCAAACTACAGTTTGACTTCATCTGTAACTCTTGAAAATGACTTACTACATAATTGTCATGTCACTGGAGTTCAGTTTCCATCATATAAGCAGTAGGGTAGTTTGTACTCTGGCTCAGTATATTTATGAACTCAGTTAATGTGGTTACAGTAGTTTATGTTTTAAGGTGTTTCTGCTTATGTCGGTGATGATAACTAGCACCATTAAACAACACCTGCCTATCCCAAATCCTTGGGAAGGACTTGATAGATGGATAAAAATGCCAAATCTAGTCTAAACTTCTGGCTGATCAATAACAGTAGAAATAATGGAGAAAAGGACAAGGAAGATCAAGTATTGACTACTTGCCAATTCATCAGCACCATCTTGGTGAAGATGAACTGTATTGGTTTTGGTATTGAACTGATCTGCACTCACTCATTGCCAAGCAGTTTAGCAACATACCACAAGGAAGTAAAATTTAACATTGGTTAACATTTTGCAAATCCTACCCAATAATGCAATGTCCAGCAAAAGAGACAGTATCTGACAACTACAGGCCAATTATCTATTTACCAAAAACTTTCAAATTGCTGACTGGAATTAGACAGCTGAGGCAGTCTAATCGCATTGAAAACACTGTTTCCATCTGAGCAAAAAGAAAATCTTTAAAACCCTGCATACCATGGTTCTAGGCTATCCAGGCGATTCCAGGAATCGTCTCACCCAAATGGGACTGACCTTTCCCAGCAGAAGGGGGCTCTGTTGGCCAAGGAATTTCAGTTGACAGGGTCCAGGTAACACCTGCACTTTGAAACATCTTGCCCACTTAGGTAAGATCTGCTCCCAGATCTTACTTAGGTAAGAGCTGCTTTGGATCATCCATAAGGCCTGAAGACCTGGCTCTGCCAGTTGGCTTGGGGCCCCAACAATGGTGCATTATACTGGAGGTGGTTGATGGATTAAGAGAAAACTCAACCTTCTCCCCTTGTGCAGCCTGCTCCCTTCCTTCCCATCTTTTTAGCTGTATTTTTTACATATTTAGAAATATGTATTTTTATGGTTTTATTGGCTTTTAATGTAAGTTGGCCAGAGTTGCATTGAGGTGAGATGGGTAGCAAGCCAAACTAAATCAATCAATAAACCATCCAAAAAACGAGTCAAAAGATCAGGCCCTACCTTTTATTTACTTATGTATTGTATGGCATTGATTATACAGTCACTTATATGGTATACTGATAAAACATGTGTACAAACATAAATCCATGTTTAAATCAACAATTACATGTATATAAGGTATGTGGACAGTACAGTAGATGAGATAAAATATTAAATTAGGGTAAAACCATAATAAAAATCTCAATAATAAGATACAATAGGATGATGTTATAATTTGATATCTAAGAAAGCTAATCTAACTGCTTTTGGTTAGGTGGCTATGATGAGATCATCCCAGGTACATTGAAATTTCCCTAGGAGGCATTCTCAACCTACACGTGTTATTGTTTGTTCTGATGCATCATAGTCGTGAGCTGTCAACCATTACTCAAAGTGTTTTGCTTTAGTTCTGGCATGACCTGTTCTGATTCTATTCAGGTGCCTCTACATTTTTATGGAACATAGTTGCAAGAATATAGATTGACAATAAGACTTATCGAAGCAGTAAAGGATTCATCTTCCTGGGTTCTAAAATCAAAGTGGTGACTGAAGGCCTGAGATCAGAAGACATAGAACTTGGAAGAACTGCAATGTCTGGCATGAATAACATCTGGAAGAGTAAAGGCATCAGCCGCACAACCAAATACAGATTAGTTAACACAATATTTTTTCCCAATTCCTAATTATGTCTATGAAACTTGGACTCTGAAAAGGGCAGATAGGAGAAAAATGGATGCCTTTGAACTGTGGTGTTGGAGGCAACAATTACACATCCCATAGATTGCAAAAATAACAAGTTCTAGATGGAACCTCGCAAAAAAAATAGCACTTGAAGCCTAGATCACCAAACAGAAGCTGACATTCTCTGGTCATGTTATGAGAGCTGACTCACTCGAAAAGTCAATCATGCTGGGAGTTATCAGTGGAAAAAAGAGAAGGGGCTGCCCTGGTACCCGCTTGCTGGACACTATAAAGGATGACACCTGGATGACTATAGTGGATCTGAAGGAAGCAGTGTGAGACAGAGACTGACAAGATGATTTTGGAAAACTGCAAAAGAAGGAAAACCTTGAATGTAGTTTGGACTAATTACAAGAAGGCATTTGACTCCTTGACACATGACTGGATAATCAAGTATCTAGAAATAACAGTAACAGTAGAAACATCAGAAGATTTGTGCAAAGATCAGTACCACTACGGTGATAGATTGGGACAGGTTAACATCAAGAAAAGAATCTTTCAAGGAGACTAGCTATCACTACTACTGTTTGTCATTGCATTGATTCCTCTGTCAACAAAACTGAACAAGTCAGGCCATGATTATCAAGCATCAAACTCATCTGCCAGGCTATTCCACCTCCTTTACATGGACAATCTGAAATTACAGATAACCCTCAATTTACAGCCATTTGTTTAGTGGAGCTAAAAAAAGGGATTTGTGACTGTTTTTCATATTTACGACCATTACAGCATCCCCATGGTCACAGGATCAAAATTTGGTAAATAGCTCATATTTATGATGATTACAGTGTCCTGGGATCATGTAATCCCATTTTGCGAAGGGAAGGTAGATTCACTTAACAACTGTTGCTAATTTAACAATTGCAGCAATTCACTTAACAACTGTGACAAAAAGTGATAAAATGGGGCAAAACTCATTTAAGAAATATCTCACTTAGTAACATAAATTTTGGGCTCAATTGTGTCATATGTTGAGGACTACTGTAATGGAAAAACACCATCTGAAATGGAGTTGCTGCTCAACACTCCATACATATAGCAAAGATATTGCAGTGGAGTTTGGACTGGATAAATGTGACACCCTTTCCATGAAAAAGGGGAGGGGGGGGAATGAAAATTGAAGAAATCACATGTCCCATGGAAATAACATCAAAAGTCTGGATAAAGATCACTACAAATATCCAGGCTTCCTTCAGGGTGACAACATAAAGCATACTGAAATCAAGAAGATTAGTACTTAATACATCATGAGAATGAAAAAGATCTAAAAGTTCAAATTTAGCGGCAGAAATATCATCAAAGTGAATAATACCTGGGCAATTCCAGGGATCAGATATGCAGCTGAAAAATAGGATCAGGAAAATAATGTCAGTCATCCACATAGTGATTTTGACAGACACTATTTACCAAGGAGAATAAGTGGCATGGAATATTGCAAGTATACCAGACAGTTAAAGAAGGAAAAAGGGCTCTGGAAGAATATCAAGGAAGAATATGCATCAAGGTTTGTATACCGTGAAGGTTTATTGAATACCAAAGACAACTAACTGGCCTATAAGAAAAACCAAATGAAGTATAGAAAAGAGGCATGCAAAACAAAGTATTACATGGTCAATACAGGTAGTCCTTGATTTATAACCGGTTGCTTAGTCACCATTAAAGTTATGACAGATCCACCCTTAAAGCTACTTATGATCCAGTTTCAAAATTATAGCTGTTGCATCATTCGCTCAGCTCATAGCAAACTCAGGTGCTATTCTTGTGACAGGGCTCCATTTTTTGGGGAGGCTCTATTTCTTTATGGAATTGTGGAGCCTTCTTAAAAAGGGAGGCC